TAATGTCGTCTAGGTATGCAAAGACTTTGAGGTCAAATTCCCTAAATAACAGATCAACCAACCTTTGCTGTGTAGCCGGGGCGTTAGTTAAACCAAAAGCAGTGCGCTTAAAACGATAGGTACCGCGATTAGGCACATAAAAAGCAGTCTTGTCCCGGTCCTCCTGTGCTATAGGTATCTGCCAAAAGGCTTTGGATAAATCGATACTAGATAAGTAGCGAGCATCGCGAAGATTATCCAAGATCTCGGAAATGTAGGGTAGACTATAGGCGTCGCGCTTCGTGATGGAATTGAGCTTGCGGCTGTCGAGGCAAAACCGAGGCTGACCGTTTTTCTTCGTAACAATGAGAACTGGTGATGACCAAGCACTTTCGCACTGCTCAATTACGTCCAGAGCCAGCATCTCGTCGACCTGCTCGGCAAGGATCCGCTGCTTCTTTGGAGACAACCTATAGTACCTTTGACGAACTGGCTCAGCATCTCCCGTATCAATACGGTGAGTGACCAAACTCGTCTCGCCCAAACCCCCGACGTTCGGCGGAAATGTCGCTAAATTGAGAAATGATGTCATCCGCCACTGATCTCTCCGAAACAGTTAAGTGGTCATACGCTTGTATGAAAGTGGTAGAATCGGTACTAAGGCTAGCATTCAATACTGCGGCATTAGAAAATGTAATGCTTGAGAAATGTCTAGGAAAAATGTTAAACTCGCGCCAAAAATCGATCCCCAACACGAGATCAATATTGATGTCTGGCACAACAAATGACTTAATTATATGGTACTCATTCTCAAAGTTTATAGGGAGAAACATATAGCCAATGCTGGTCATAGATTGACCCCCAGCAGCCGTGACTGTAATTAAGTTGTCCCTATGCAGCTGTAAACCCCGTTCCTCTAGCTTCCTATAAGCTATATCACCTAAAATGGACACAGCTGAGCCTGAATCTAAGAGGCCAAATAGCTTAAAATCATTGATTTGTACACAAGCGTAAGGTCTAGGATCATGCAATGGTTTGTCCAGCAGAATTGTATCAACTTTATAAGAATTGAAGAAAACATTAACAGTGTTAAGCCAGCTCTGCCAATCCTCTTGGTCAAACTTGGGTGGCAGGACTTCAGTACAATTCTGCTGGTCTATCAGGTTTTTGAAGTGCTCGGTTTATCCTTGCCACACTTCGGACAGTCTGGTGACTTGACGCCTTCCTGGCCACAAACAAAACAAAATATTCTATCCCTATTTGCTTTGCATTGACGAAGGTTGTGGGTGTTATTACGACACCTAGGACAATAAGGAGACTTTTGGTACTGCTGTTGCACCGCATGCACATAATTATTATTTTTAGTATAAGTTTTATTACCTGTATTGTAATTATTGTTGCTTCTATTGTAAAAGTTATTGTAAGGTCTTTTATTGAAACTTTGGCCGCTGCCTTGATTAAACCTACTTGCAGACTGACCAGCGTAAGAAAACTCTGGCGCCAGTGTTCCTGAAGAGACCTTCGGGGGTTCGTGGAATCCCACTAGGCGAGCCTGAATGTTCTCGTAATTACGACAGAGCGAACGCAAGGTGTCGAGGTCTGAGATCTTCGGGACAGAAGCTAAGGTGCTGGCGTAGCATGGGCGGATATTATGTAAAATGATCTCAAGTTTGTCTTCGTTAGACAGGCTCTTGGACAAACGTGAGAATAGCCCAGTCATAATAGAAATGTAAATAGTTATATTTTCAGACTCGCCCTGAGTTCTGGCCCGAATCTCCGACAAGAGTCTGTAATCATAATCGGCCTGGTCGAAATCTTCTCTAAGAAGGGAAACTAACTCGTCCCAATTAGATACCTGGTCCCGAATGGCACGATACCAATGCAAGGCATCGCCGGTAAAAATCTCAGCGCAGTAAGACAGCAGTTTTTCCCCCCGGTATATTCCTCGACTGGCTGTATTCATTGATGCGCTGGATAAATGCACGAACGCAAGATTTGCCGTCGAACTTAAACTTAGTGAACTCACTAGCCACGCCGCGCTCACAAGTTACGTTAACGTTGAGAGGTAAAGCAGCAGTAGACTGAGGGTCTCTAGATGCCAGAGAAGGGGTGGAATCGGTAGCAGTAATAGCATTATAGCGTTCCAAAAGTTGCCTGTATTCCGAAACACACGTATCCACCACCCCTTGCTGGGTCGTGCTATCACAAACTATACGGTTGAGTCGATGATGGAGGTGGTTAATGAGGTTGCGAGCACGAAGCAACGCATTCCCATCGCTAGGCGCCTCGATATATGCTCTTAGCTTAATTAAAGCATCGCTGACTCCCTTTAAATCATCGCCGACAGACAAAACGCTCTCGAGAATGTCCTCCGAAGGAAAGAGTGGACCTAATTTAGCAATCTGCTCGCGTAACTCTCTGACTGTGTCAGCCGGGGTGGCACCTCTAATGGCAACTTCGTATTCTAACTCCGACTTTTGCAACGATAGGAATTTAACCGAGTGCGCCATTATAACACGCGTATAACCGCAAAGAGGTAAGTGTTGAGTCGTTACTGACTTAATCTACTCCGTTCCGTTACAATTATAATATCAGGTACTAAGAACGTTCTGGTTGACTAAAACGATTGGCGTATAAAAGAAGCAGTAAAAAGAATAAAGCAACTGCCACCAAAATAAAAGAAGCAGCGCAACAAAAAATTAAAATACGCAACTAATGTGTACTCGAACAATTAAATAAAACACGATAATAATAATATGCCTAAGAATTAAAATAAAAAACAATTGATTGAATAATTTAAAATACTACCAACGCATGCGTGACTCAACTGAACTAGAGTTCTGCAGCAACAATAGGGAATAGTTACAATTCATAAAATTTCAATAATAATAATATCACAGAAAAAAAAACTACGAGAAAAAAAACCTACTGCAGAATAGAATAGTAATACCTCGGAACAATATTAAATTTACCCTATCACAGATTACACAGTGACCACTCTGCACGCTAACTACTCTGTACAATGATAGAACGTAAACAACATAGGGTAGTGCACGGCATAGAGTGATTACGAAAAGTTGTTCGAAACTAAACAAATTCTTAGTTAGGGATTAAAGTTTATGATCTCTCAAATAATACAAGTAAATAAATAAATCAATTGAAATTCAATAAAATTCCTAAAACAAACACAATAATGAAATTCGTACACATTAGTTGCTGCAACCAAAAAACAAAAAAAAAACAAAAACGTTTCACAAACACAAAACGACACAAACACCAACTACTCCTACGCAGTGAAACCAGACCTTTTTTTACCACGTTTATGGGCGCCAGTGTGACGGTTGGGGTTTAAAATAAGGCAACAACCAGTCATAAAAAAAAATTATATATTGGTAAAAGAAAAGGTCGTGGGCGTGGTTCCGATAATTTAAAAAAAAGTGCCCGTCTGGCTTCACTGGCAGGGTCAGGTACTCCCCTATGTGGCCGCGAGGTGGTCGAGCAGGGCCGGGGGGTTGGACTGTTCACGGGGAGCGCCGTGGGCAGCTGGCTGTGGCGGTGGCGGCGTCGAGGGGAGGCCTAGGCCCTCTTAAGAAGGACGACCGCCACGGTTGTAGTCGTAAAATTACACCCTGGAAACAACGTCGTCCACATTTAGGTCCAGGTAATAAAATTCCGCCGATTATGAACCCCCGGTATATCGCAGGCTAGCAGAAGATGGGAGCACATAGAGTAGCTGGCGGGTGTTCATAATCAGAACGGAGTTACAAGGCGGAATGGAAGGCAAGCGTCATAGCGGTGAGGCGCAAATTAAAATACACATGAATTAAAAATTACGGCAAGTGTAAAATACTGTTTAAATGTACCAGGATAACTAATTTAGGCTGTGCATTGGTTGAAACATGATGGTGACTTGCGATATTTGATCGCGGTGCGAAATGTATGAGACGCCATTTTGTAACGGTACTTTTGCCAACGCGCACAGCGGCTACATACATTACTTACATGCAAATAACACTAATAACGTGGCAATTAAATAGCTAAAAGCAAACAGCCTGGCATGATCAAATTACACTACCTATAAAACACTTTCACTACTTAAAACTAGGTAACGTTTCAACACTTACCCTTACGGGGTGCAAAACGATACGGAAGTCTCGGTGACGAGAATTAACGAAAAAAAACTATACGGCCACAGTGCCGGAATTATTATATTATTTTAAACTTTTTTCCAAAATGGGATTAAAATTTGCAAGCGCGTACGAGGACACAAAGCAGAGCTTGTGAACGCGGCTGCAGTGGTAGTGTGCGCCTCCCAGGGCGCTCGGGCGGAGAATGACCGGGAGCGCGACGCCGTGGAATGATGCCGGCCGGGTAAAACTCTGACGCGAGAGTTGCAAAGCGCGTAGTGTAACGAAGCGTCAGAGTGTTTGTTCGAAATACAATATTTTAATATTTGATTTATTATTTAATTCGTTCTTTTAGTTTACTGATTTGTTTTATTAATAGGATACCTAAGTTAATTATAGAATTATTTTTTGTTAATAACTTTTATTTTATTTTTATTTAGTTTATTAAATGTTTATTTAATTTTAATAAACCGTTTAATTATAATTATGCATACATGTACGTGCAACGTTACATAACTCGTAATACCATAAACTGGGCTTATGAACGTCACTGGTGGACAATCCAGTGCGGTTTTTTGATTCTTTGACCTGAAAAGCGTAAAAAATAAAGTGAGTCGGTAAACTACATAACGAGGAAACATAAGTAGTAGGTAGGTATGTTCCAATGATATTGAAGAATTATATAAAGAATATAAAGAAGAATTATGGCAATCAGTAAATATTTTCATACAAATAACAATTTTAATTCTGGTTTTACGTTAGGTAACTATTAATAAACAGAAAATAGAAAAATAAGTAGGTAGGTACAATAATATGTACCTAATATTTCACTGCATTTTTATTCAAAACTGATAGGAATTTCTGTTTTAATGAACTTATAGTTAAGTTACTTACCTTCTTGGATTCCCGTATATAAGAAATTCTAAGATTTTCTATCTTTTTTTTTGCAGACGCGGCGTTGGCCGATGGGTCAATTTCTTTCAATTTTGTGGCTAAAATATTCCACGCATTTTTTTCTGATTAGAATCTTTGTATGTTTCACATGTTAAGTCCCAAAGACAAGGCAAGTCTCTATACAGTTCCAGGAGTTCCGTGATCACTTCACGTTCTCTTTGCTCTTGTGCCATTTTGTGCGCGAAACGTCGCCGCGTGCGTCTGCGCTCGCCGCTGCAGCGTGACTGTCGTTCACGTGGTTTCAAACAAGCGGCTAGACGGTTTCAAACAAGTTTCAAACCAACGCTTCTGCCAGTGGTTTGAAACGCAAGCCTTGCTACCAAGGACATTTGAAGGTCAAACGAAATTTGGTTTGAAACCACTATCTACACGGTTTGAAATCTCTGTTTCAAACCATCGTTTCAAACCGTGTATCAGATACTTTACTGATAACTTTAAGATTTTTAGCTACAGGAGATTCCTATACTAGCTTGGAATACATGTTCAAAGTATCTAAAACAAAGTATAAGCCGTTTTGTTCCGGTAGTGTGTGAAGCTATATATAGACATACAGGCACTCAAAGATTACATTAAGGTAAGCTAATTCGATTATTTATAGTTATTATATATTTTTTAAACTAAGTAGGTAGGTAATTTTATCAAATAAATGCAAAATGTGGTTGAAATATTTTTTATTAAATTTAAAAATTATCATAGAATAATTATGTAGTTTTTAAATATTAAAAAAATTCTGAGAGGTTAACAGCGATTCCGATTCAGTGAATTGGTTATCAGCATTTGCTGTTTCTGCTGGTGATGGTCGATTAGTCGATTCCAAAGTTGGTGACGATGGCGCATGTGGCGATGAAACAGTTGATGTACTTGTAGTATACCCATATTGTTGTGGCTGATTGTAATATTCACGTGGACAATAGACATTTGGTGAATAATTTCCCATATGTGCCTGGAATATTATATTATTAATGGCATGTTTGACACAGGCCAAGGTACCTTTATCGTATTTTTTTAGTTCGTTGGCAATATGCAATCCATAACTTGTGTACGGGTCATCATTGTCCGCTGTTTTCTTCAAAAGTTCATATGCACTCTTTACCATTGGATTGTCGTATTCTATTTTCTTTTTCTTAGCACTTTTTTTGTTTTGGAGGGTGCATTTCATTGCTTGCTTCATTGTCATTAATGCCTTGACTATCAGCATTTTCAACATCCAAAACTTCTTAGGTTCGTTGAAATAATACTAGTTTTTACGGAATTTATCGCGTATATTTTAACTTTTTAAATACCCGACGTTTCGAACGCTTTACAGCACTCATGGTCACGGGCAGGACTGAGATGTTCAACGTCCATATGTCATAGTTAACCGCGGTTACCATAGATTAAAATTTAACTTTTGTTCCGATCTATGCAGTATGAACTTATGGTATCTTGAAGTCTTGCAGTTGTATGCTTGGGTTGGGATTTAATTTTATTTATTATAGGATCCCAAGCAGATGGTAGCACCCAGCCATCTTCTCTATTGAAATTAGGATGTTTTTTGATTTCAATAGCCTCGCGAATCATCCTTGGAAGGAATCGGTGTTCTTTAGCGAGGATCTGCGGTCTATCAAATCTGATGTAGTGACGGGGGCGATCCTGTATGTGTTCAGGGGAAGTCTGCAGTCTGTGAAAACGTCGAAACGTCGGGTATTTAAAAAGTTAAAATATACGCGATAAATTCCGTAAAAACTAGTATTATTTCAATGTGTAGTGTTCGCGTAAATATAAGAAATTCTTAGGTTCGGTTTTCCTGTAAAAAAAATTTAATAAGAAATTGATGCATTGTAATTTGTTATTGGTTTGTTATTCTGCTTCAGGTTCCCCAAACAGAAAGTGAATGGCTAGATATATCACGTAACTTCGAAAAAAAGTGGAACTACTCTCATTGTGTTGGGGCAATGGATGGCAAGCATATTCAAATCATAGCACCGCCCCATAGTGGAGCTGAATATCGAAACTATAAAGATTTCTTTAGTATTGTGTTATTTGCGGTAGTAGATGCTGACTATAATTTTTTATATGTTGATGTTGGATGTAAGGGTAGAATTTCTGGTGGAGGTGTATTTAAACATACCAATTTATATAGAGAACTTGAAAATAAAACTTTGAATATTCCGCCACCAAAGATATTGCAAATTCCTTATAATGTAAAAGTACCTTATTGTATTGTAGGAGACAACGCTTTTCCTCTTAATGAATGCACAATGAAACCATTTGCTGGTAATAATTATATACGAGGTTCTCTCGAACGAATTTACAACTATCGACATTAAAGAGCCAGACGAGTCGTCGAGAATGTACTTGGTATTATCGCATCCGTTTTCAGAGTATTACGTAAACCTATTGCAATAGACACTAATAATGCGGTTTCAGTTGTAATGGCTATTACGCATTTGCATAACTTCATGCGTCAAAGAAACTATACTAGAAAATACTACTGTCCCATTGGGATTTTAATAGGGAAGAAAATGGCGAGATAATTCCAGGTACATTTAGGAACGATGAGCCATTACAATCCTTCTCTTCTTTGCCACACGTACCCTAGATAGATCTACCAACCAAATCAAAGAAATTCGTTTGTATATCGCACGGCACTTTATAACAAATGCAGAATTACCTTGGCAATATAATATTAATTAAATTAGTTTACTTATAAGAATTTTCTGAACTGGTGGTGTATATATAACCACCAGGAATAGTGTACCTTTATATTGAAAGTGAAAGAATTATCCATATTGGACCAGAAGCACCAGAGTAATCTCCGGTAATGTTTGCGAGTTTGTTGTGTTTGTGAGTTCCAAACACGCAAACATTACCTCTTTATAATCAGTATAGATTATGAAAATAAATAAACTTAAATTGGAACTATCTCGAGTTTCATTTGGTTCACTTTTATCCATTAAAAATTTCATCCGATCAAATGCAAACCATTTTGACACATAAGCTTGATCTTGACCTGAAACAAAAATATTGATTTATGTAATTCATATATATGTATACGGTATGTAAATAAATATAACATGTTGACGGATAAAATAAACACTAATAACACTTACCACTTCCCGTTTTAGAACTTCGTTTTTGCTTTGATCGTTCTCGTCTAAATGAACCTGTCAAGCTTACAATTTTTTTAACATCGTCTACACTAATGTTTAATGTATCACTGATATCACGCCAAGCATCTTCTTTTTTTATGCGATTATAGTATTCTTCGTATGTACTATCCCATAACACCCTCTTTGATTCATATGCATCAATTAATGTTAAACAAGTCTCGTTATTCCACAAGCCACTCATTTTTCAAATAACAGAAAAAGTAAACGTAATTAAACTATATTAAACTCGGGGAATTCGATGCGCTCGTCTCAAACACAAAAACAACCGTCCACACTGAGCGCCGAGCGAATACTGAGCGCCTTTGAGCACGGACAAAAACCGACAGATGCCGGCTCGCCCTGAGCGCGCTCGGATTTGCTCGGGCCGAGCGTGCTCAGGCGTCTCCACTTGAGCGGCTCACTCAAGTGGAGACGCCTGAGCACCGTTGAAGTTGTTAGAGACATCAGAAAACTGCGAGACGACACTCTGAGAGATGAGTGAAAATAGAACTGCCACTATCACTTACCATTGAACCAAAACTGTCATCATTGGCATTGAAATACATCTCACTTTCGCCAGTTAGGCCTCGTCCGCGCAGCGAATATTCACCGCGCGAATTTTATTCCGTGATCAAAATTACACCTATTACGCACTGCGAATAAAATTTCCTCACGATATTTGTCAGTTCGATGCAGTTCCCCGTTCAAAACGAACGTCTAAAATGGACAACAGAACAATTTTGATTTACTTGATACTACGGCGGCGACGTAATGGACGTATCAAAAGAAGCCATGAACACTGGATTCACCCCCTTTACGGCTTTGAGACCAATGAAAGAATTTTTCTTCATAAACTATCAAGAGCTACGAAAATACAGTAAAAAGTTTTTCAGATATTATAGAATGAGTAAAACATCATTCGATAATTTACTACGACTAGTTGGTCCAGCTATTACCTATCAAGATACAAATTGGAGAAAAGCAGTTTCAGCTAAGAGAGACTTTTGATAACTATAAGGTAAGATGTTCCGTATTTAGGCAGAGGTATGCACCACAAGTAGGTATATCTAAACATTTCATGAAAATCGATCGTATTAAAATAAAGCAACGTGGTCTTTTCAAAGTGCACCTTATTATCGATCTTCATAAAATGTTTAGAAATAACTGGCACTAAATAAGTATTGACTACAATTCAAAAAACAATGATAAAAAAAAGTAAGATTAATCTTACAGAATCATTTATTAAAGTAATTAACTTCTATTTAAATAAAATAAAATCTTTCATGTCAAAACCACTCCCCTCTACTACGTACGAAAAATGATTAAATGAAGTATTTGGAAAATTTGAACTGAGAGACAGTGTGTATTGGTCTTGAGGAGACGGATCAGGCTGAGATTGAGAAATGTTAGATGGATTACGAGATGGTGTGTACCGAGTTTGAGGAGACGGATCAGGCTGAGATTGAGGAATGTTAGATGGATTACGAGATGGTGTGTACTGAGTTTGAGGAGACTGATCAGGCGGATATTGAGGAATGATAGATGGATTACGAGATGGCGTGTTCTGAGTTTGAGGAGACGGATCAGGCGGAGATTTACGCCCGAACCTAATATTCGATCTTAATCTATTTTTAGCTATCCAAGACTGATAATTCAATCCATTTTATGGTTAGACAGTGCCAACAACCAATCCAGGGATTAAAATTACTATTTGTAGAAGCAAGCTATCCTCGGGAGGTCGGATTACAAAAAAAGATAGACCTCTGTGGGCGAATGACAATTTGTGTGTATCAATAACCTATCTGTCAATTTTGATGTTTAGTTCGATCGGTGTAAACAATCCAAATTCGCAATCCGAGAAAATCCTAGGATTAATCCTTCGAGTCCAGTCTAACCGATTACGTATTTTGTTTTATTTTATTTGCGCGAAAATGGATTTAACATTACTATCTAGTGACAGTGACAGTGATTTGGAAATGCTAGCTCAGTTATCTGACTCGAGTGATGAAGACGAAACCCTACGCCGCACATGAATATACGCAAAGTCGTAGACATAACATCCACGAGGTAAAGCAAAGCTGGTCTATAGCAAATTAGATAATTTTTTACAATCTAAGTATATAATATACTTCATTTTGTGTAATCCTTTGCAGAAATTACGGAGTATCACCATTGCATGAACTTTTGTTGACCCTACGGTTTTATGCACTAGGTACAATGTTGATATCCGTAGCAGATTTTGTTGGAAATTCAAAATCTACAGCAGGCAGAATAGTACGAGACACATCATCAGCAATTGCCCAATTATATGATAAATATATTTATGTTCATCGAAGGAGTGCAGACCAATTCTATAGAATTGCTCGATTTCCTCGCGTGCTTGGGGCAATTGATGGCACACATATCCGCATACAGTCTCCATGTAAGTAACTATACTCAACTCTTCTTAAAATTTTGGCAAATATGAATAAACTATGAAGTTGCTAATAATAATGTTTATATATTTTAGGTCATTTAATAGGCGAAGAATACAGAAATCGGAAGGGTTACTTTTCTTTAAATGTTCAAGGTGTTTGTGATGCAGACTTAAAATTTATAAATGTTGTGGCTCGTTGGCCTGGTTCTACGCATGATGCAACTATATTTAATAACTCTATTCTGAGAGGTAGGTGTATATAATATGTATTCAAATTGTAATAAATTTGAATATTTAAATATTAATTTATTAATTTTAATTTAATATTTTATACGTGGTAGAGCCATGCTGCAGTTATATTAGTAGTATAGTTGTAGCACGAATGGGTCGGCTCGACCGGGGAAGGACCACGCTCTCACAGAATACCAGCGTGAAATAGTAGCTTAATGCTGCTGTATTTCGTATGGTGAGTGTAGAGAACCGGAGACCCTTTTTACTGGAAACGAGGCATTCCATCTTAGTCCTCACGGGTGACAACGCATCTGCATTTTGATTCGTAATCGAGGATAGATGTAGATGTCTATGGGCCACAGCAACCACTTACCATCTGGTGGGCTGTGTGCTCGTTTGTCACCCTATCCTATAAAAAAAATATTTACTGTCAGCCTAATATTCTTTATTTTTATAACACCTGAATGTGATGCAGGGCAATTCGGAAATCGCTGGTTACTTGGAGATAGTGCCTATCCAAACAGGCCATATTTATTAACAACTGTTCTGAATTCAGTTTCTGAAGCTGAACATAGGTACAATGAAGCACACATTAAAACTAGAAATGCCATTGAGTGGTATTGTTGCGCCTTCTTAACGACCTCAAACTGGGTGATGGAACTACAGCTCCCGTATTAGCTACTACACCTTCGCTACGTGGGTTCAAAGTGCCACCGTTCGACGGGACTTCTTCCTGGTCAGCCCACAAAATCCAGTTCGAGGCTGTTATGAAGGCGAACGGCTGGAATAAAAGTCAGGCAATGACTGCTCTCACACTGGGCCTGCGCGACCAGGCCTTAACAGTTCTGGAAGCTCTCGGGGAGGAAGTGACTTATGAGCAACTCCTTGAGGCATTGGAGGCGAGATATGGCGACGCTCACCTGGAACATGTCTTTCGTGCGCAGCTTAAAGATCGCGTGCAGCGCATCAACGAAAACCTGCAGCAGTGGGCTCTAGAGGTGGAGAAGCTGGTGCGGAAAGCATACCGGTCTGTACCTGCGCTCATTGAAGGGAACCTGGTGCAGACATTCATCGACGGCATCCGCGACCTGGAAGTCAGAGCTGCTGTGAGGCTCGGGCACCACGAGACGCTTAAGAACGCCTTGGCCCATGCACTGGAGGTAGAAGCCGTGCGGCAGGATCATCGTTCCCAACGCGTCAGCGAGGTTGCAGCAGTTACTAAAGTTCGCGACCGCAACAGAGGATACAGCCCTAGGTGCTCTGGCTGTGGGGAAAAGGGCCATCTTCGATCCAGCTGCCCTAAGCGAACCCTAGAAAGGGAAGTTGAAAGATCTCAGGAGGGTAGTGCGGCCAACAGCACCGCCCAGCAGCAGCAGGGAAACGAGTAAAAGCCAGAACTGCGGGGCGGGTGCTGGCTGATGTTAAAAGAGCCCCAAGGATCTCGATCTCACAAACCCATGAAGGGAACAGTCTAATCTTCAAGGGCGAGGTCAACGGAATGTGTAAACTGACCATAGACACTGGAGCCTCTCGTACGGTTGTTAGTTCCCAACTTATAAGTCAGTTCCTTGGGGACTCCGCATACAACCGAGAACGCATTAATTTGGTAACAGCCACCGGTCAGCGTATACCCGTCCGTGGAGAGAAGGAGATGGAGTTGAAGCTAGGCAACGTGATCTACCTACATAATGTCATCGTGGCTGATATAATGGACGACTGCATCCTAGGCCTAGACTTTATGAGGAATAATTGTTGTGAGATCGACGTTAAGCAAGGTGTTTTGAAATGTGGACAGGAGGGACTTTTTATGGAAAGTGCGTTACCAGGGAACGTGTACAGCATTAAGAAGATTGTTCTTCCGCCGAGAACGGAAACGATTGTTCCGGTTAGTCTTCCTCGAAACGCTGGGCAAGCTCACCGTTGTGTACTTGTGGAAAGGGTAAACAATGACCTTCCATGGAAAGTAGCTCGAACCTTGGTCAGGACCACTGACATCTCAGGAGTACGTGTGCTGAACCTTTGCGACCGGCCACAGATTATAGAAAAAGGCACACTGATTGGTACTTGTGAGGAAGTGGATTGGTTACGTCGGTGCCAATATCTATCGACTGGGACCCCCAGCAAGGATGCAGAAACGAGAGTGACCACACTTTTGGAAGACTGTCGCAGTGTTCTCTCCCCGAACGAATTGGTCAAGGCGAAGAAGTTGTTACTCAAGTACGCCGATGTATTCTCATCAAACGATGCTGACATAGGAAAGACTGGCTTAGTTCAACACAAAATAAACACAGGAGAAGAATTGCCTATCCGTCAGCGGCCAACAAGATTGCCGGTAGCACGTGAAAAGGAAGTGGAAACCATGATTGAGGGAATGGTGAAGGATGGTGTTATTGAACCTTCCTCTAGTCCATGGTGTTCACCAGTGGTGCTGGTGAAGAAGAAGGATGGCAGGATGCGGTTTTGTGTTGACTACCGCCGTCTGAACGACGTTTCAAAGAAGGACAGCTATCCCTTGCCAAGAATTGATGACACGCTGGACATGCTTACAGGAGTAA